TATTGTATCATCAAGAAAGAGAAGCAAAAAAAAGAATGTTAGAAGAGCGTTAATTGGTCCCAGGTAGCTGTATGAGGGTAATGTATCGTTAAATGCCGGTCGAATCCTCCTATTCTATTGAAACAGACGGTCGTGTAGGCCTGTGTGACCGAAAAGCTTTCCCCTGCCAATCATTCCCGTTTTGAATCGAGCCCGAGCGAGATTCTCCGATTTCTTTCGTGAAACTACTCGAGTGAGTGCTGGCACATTATAAAACCATTCATAATCTTGTGCTCCAGCCACGGGTGAATATCGGTCGAAGGAAGATCTCCGACAGGGGGTCGGACGCTGTACGGACTGGTCCATGGGGGTTCGTACTCTTGGGGGTCATAACAGCAGTGGTATGCGTGGATGCAGATAGGTTAAGAAGGGTATCAGCGCAGCAAGAGAAATGAAAACATCCGAAAAAACATGCATATTAAATTTCTTTGCACGTTACAGTCGCTCTATTACTCCCATTCATGAGAAGACGTATTTGACAGGCAGATACAAAGATGAAGTCATCCCCACAAAGAACGAGGCCACACTCGTGCGCCACCAGAACGCGCTGCAGGCAACCTCCTCTTCCTATCGCTCGCTTCTTCTCCTTAATAGTGGCGTGAGAATGCGAACACTGTTGTTAGGTGACCCTGTCGCAAAAACGACAACCGTCTGAAAAAAGGCTGGGCAAATGAAGTTTTTTTTTGGGTTACAGAATAAGCACAAACACACTATTCTACTCAGCAGTACAGTTTCGCTTCGAAGGTCCCATGCATATAGTCACACCTTTCACTGGATTCCTTGCAACTGGATGGAGAGGGATGCATGCTTATCAATGACGCAAGTAGGATGATGGAAGAATTGCTCCTATTCTTATTGTTGCGTTTCAAAGATTTGTTTTAGACACATTTCGATGTTGCATCGAGGTCACCACTTGTCAATGGTGAATGGAGGAACGCGGGTTTGCCAGGTTGGCGGATCCGTCCATCAGATAGGATCTCGGGCAATTTGTCTCTTCACAAAAGAGCTGTGAAATAAACAGACCATCAGGACAGCGTGAACTTCTGCTCTTTCCACACTACTTCCCTTTCTTTAGGATCTTACAATATAAGAGATATACTTGCTGTTGAAGATGGCAAAAAACCGCGTTAGAAAAATTTGGCTTTGCCACTGCGAAATTATAATCGCGCATTTGACAGCATAATCTTTCTGCAAGGAGGCTTCCAGAGGCAAATATGTCATGCATAGATTGGGAACAGAGTCGATTATTGGTCAGTATTAGAATCTACGGATAATGTTTTTTAACCATCGGTTTATGGTTGTGGCAAAGTAAATGATTCAAACTTAATAGTGTACAAGTCTTGAGTGGGTGTAGAATAGGGAACGAATGAATAATATAATTTTATTATTTTATTGAATTTCGGAGGCGAGAAGGTCTGTGGAGAGCTGGACATTTTTCATGGATTGACGCTCATCAATCGCTGTGAACACCGTGAAGGCAGCTGCCGTGTATTCGAAATTGAGCCCTCTTTTATAGAAGCTGTACGGTTTATAAGAGAACTGAGGTTTTAGAAATATAAATTAGTCGCACATAGTCAAAAGAAATCGAAGGAATTGGAATACGGAAATCACACGATGTACGAAGGTGTCTTGGGAAAGAATTTCTGTGCGTTTCTGCACGCAAAACCTAAACGTCGTAGAGGTCACGCAAGTAAATGCATGATTTCCCGTCGAGATACGGAACAGTGTTTCAGTAATGTAACAACGAAAAGATAAGCAGCGATTGGAAGGATGTAGCCATAAGTATGACAAAAAAAGATGATGCGTCTGTAGCATATATATGTTGGGATAAGAAATATGAGGTTTATTTTGTATAATTGTACATTATAAGCAGGGGAAATTGTATTTTAAATTCATAATTTTGGTCTGTTAGATGGGGCTTCCGTGCCAGGAATGCTCGATTTCGAGGGGGGGCGGTCGTAAACGCTGTGCACGACCAAGTACTTGACACGATTTTTCACACCTACTAGCGGTGGCGAAAACAGTAACGTCGGCTTCTCACGTAATCGTTCCTGATTCTTAATTTTGTTATATTAGTGAGCAAGCAAGACAGATAAGATATGAGTTTTGTGGTCACAGACAGTAAGAGTGGCTTTTAGAAACCCCAGAGCTTTTTTTTTTGAAATACCTCTTGATCAAGTTACGATTGGTAATCTTCGCAATGATTTCCATGACGTTATCGATAAAAAATCAATGTGGGCTCGGCCCAGCATAGATTGCTGATCATCCAAATTCATCAAACTTTACAGCAGAAACGATTCTTAGCAGTATATATTTCCAATTCATAAATGATCCAGTTAAGAAGCTTGAGGCACAATAAATAAAGGTATGATAAGAGTGATTTTTAAGGAGTATTTTTAGGCGTGCCTTACCGTTGGCGAATTTTGCGTCAACCAGAACACTCGTACGCAACTTTCAGAGCCGCACCATGGGATTCAAATGTCAAAACTAATTCAGAGTATACTCAAAATAGTCAAAGTGTATATGTACGATTTCAAAACGTTTGTATAATAGATAAGACGATTAAGAGAGAATTTTCTGATTTATGAAATTAATTTCGCTTCGAGTTTTTATGGACAATAAAATGAATGGTGCAAAGCATTTTTTTAGTGGCGCAACATACTTTTACGCCACCATGTAAGAAATCAGCATTATATCATACAAGTTCTGCAAACTGCACATACGTCGCGTCACAGGACGCTTCAAGGTGAGGGAGGTATGTCACATCTATTTTTTGTCCTTATAATATCTTACCAGATTTCAATACCAGGGCGTGAAAACATATCGGCAAGAAGACAGGAGTTATATGTGAAGGTTCAGGATTGCATATCAATCTCGATAGATCCCACGAGAGAGAGACTATGCGTGAAACTTGGCGATTACGAAGATAGGCGCAATAGTATAAGGATACGAGGTAGAAGGTGAGTTGAAGAGCCGGTGGTTAAGAATAGACGGGAGTGGGAGTAATTGGTTGAAATAAGTCTCAGGAAAAAGCAGAGAAAAAGAACACCGGCCTTTCTTGCTCGTCGTCTTGTTAGCGTTACTGGGGAGTTGCGTATACTCATAGGACGTATGGCTCGGTATGATACTAAAGCGGATTCGAGAGGATGAGCGTGGACAGAGGGGAGTGACTGCTCTGGACAAGAGGGAGTGACGAGACCAGCAGTGAGCGGGCGAGTGGTTAAGGGGGAGCCAATTGAGCGCGTGCGTTAAGAATGAGGGAATCATGCGAGAGTCGACGGGGAGGTGGGATGTGGTCGACTATGGGGCGGGCAGGAGTGGCGGAGGGGATCGTATCCGAACTTTTAAAAAGATCCGCAGTGTCTCACTCACTGGCAAAGTGTCGCCCTTCTTAACGGAAATCCAAACCTCAATCTCGAATCTTCCTAGTTAGAAGAGGACTGCACGATATGCAAGAGGCAAGGGTCGAAGAGGGGGAAACTGACCTAGTTGAGGAACCTACGATCTCCTGAGGGTGGGACTGACCAGCATCGCATGGAAAATTTGGAGGCGCTACCGGAGACGAGGACCGTAGTTCATCAAGGGTCTGAACTGGCCGAGGTGCCGGCGATGATCACGCCCATCGATCATATAATACTGCGGCGTGATTGAAATACGGTGGCGGAGTGATTAGATATAGTCATGAGAGAGGCGCTGAGTGTTGAAAGAGGCAAGCCGAATCGGAGGAGGCCGGCGAGTCAAAGTGACTTGAATCCGCGAGGGGACGGGGGAGGCAAGATGAAGGGGTACGGGATATTGTCGGGGGTTTCCTCGGGCGGTATTCATTCAGTGCTGTCCTTTTCCTTCTTTGCGGTGATACCATGACATGGAGCCTACGATTAATTTTGATGAATGGGGTTCGTTTGTTTGGAGCAGTGCGGTGGAGATTGCGGTCGCCTATTAGGATAGCAGGATCTGACGGTCAGGCAGTGAGGATACGGGGCTCCGTAGTTTTGTCTATATGAGGGACTTGAGTGCATGTGCAATGAAGGCCGCGTTTTAGTACAAGGTTTGCGAATGAAAGAAGCGGCTCTGCCAGAGAACAAACGAACGCAGCAACGGCTATTCGAATAATTAGCTGAATCTCTTATCTTATTGAACGACTGGGGGAGAGGGGCGAGAGCGAAGGATGAATCTCCGGAATTCCTGAGAAGGAATCGGGTGTTATTGGGATGAAGTATGGAATATTGGGATCAACGTAAAGAAGAAGGCGCAGTTGGGAGAGAGTAGTGGCGGACAGGGCCCACATAGGACGGAGCGAGAGGCGATCGATGAGGCGAGACACCCACTCGCAGCGCGCACAGCAAGCGCCCTGGTCGAGACAATACATATCGCCTCAACCGCACACACATCACCCCCACCCCACCCCCCGGTCGCACTATACGCAGCTGCCCTCCCCCGCAGCCCAGCTCCAGTTAAAAAGAGTAGGCGGATGGACGGCAAAGTACAAGAAGAGTCGGGCGCAGCGCTACACTCGAATAGTGGTCAAGTAGTGGCATGATGTAGAGGGGTGGAGGGCGTGTGCGCAGGAGTCTGGCCACGCAATCAGGAGACCAACTGGACTACACGGAGAATGGATTGAGAATATGGGTGCCGAGACGACTGAAAATCGGCGGATTGGAAGCGGCTTGGCAGCAAAGTCGTCACTTTCAGGAGTCTTGTTGCACAGAAGAATTTTTTGTGACGAGTAATACAAATGAAGTAGTCCGAGTTTGGGACATTTACGTTATCTTGACGGAAATAAGGCTTGACTTCCAGCGTAAAGACACAGGAAATAATAGCAAGACATAACAAGGGAGCGCACAAGGGCCGAGAGGAATTTTTCCAAAAGTGAGAGAAATGTCCGACGAAAGAGGTGATGGCACGGGGGAGAGTGCAGGCCCGAGGTGGGGTTATTGGGAGGATTGGGACGGGCTTACTGAATGCCAGGGTGCACTTGGTCAGGAAGGACGGATCCGGTCGTACAATGCCTGGCCTGTCCATGGGAACACCGGACGCGTGCGACTGGTGAGCAAGAAGCGGCGCCCGGTCAGGAACGAGGAAGAGGTGTGAGGAGAGCCCGTTTTCATGTGATCGCAAAGCACCCCAACCAATGTCGTCACAGTGAACGAGCTTGTAGAGAGAAGGGATCGAATTGAACCATATCCTTTTGGGCTGTCGCAGTAAGAGCCCTCAGAGATTTCACCCTCAACCTCAATTTCCAGTACTTCAGCCAGTATCGGACAGGCTATCTGGACAGAAAAGATATTCATGGAGAACAAGAAAGATCCAATGGTGAGGAAACGCGCGCCGCAATATCCGGCTATGCCTACGTCCCTATAATTTTGGGGCGTCGCATTAAACATTACAGCCATCGAATTCTGTGAGGAGAAGTAGCAGTTACTTTCCAGACCACTTTTCCTTACTAGAAAATGGTGCTTTAGAGCTGAGATAGATAATTGCCATCGCAGAGAGAGGAGCAAAAACGCAATTAACTAACTGCACCTAACAATGAGAGGAGATCGTTACTATATTATACGCGTTTGAGCGTGCCTGCAGCTCAAAGGGCGCGCATCACTGGTAGGGCTTTTGTTAGAAAATATGGGACAGAAGCGTGCTGTGAGATAATTAGGATCACGTGGAATGATAGGACATCTAAACGTAGCATGTCTGAGAGATGTGTACAATGATTCGAAGCAACTGGTCGCAAGATTTTGCTAAAAGATGTAGCGTAATGCGGGGGCAGAGCTGCGGAATGAAAATCGATCTATATCCATGATCTCGTAAATTTAGCAGTGATATCGATTGCTAGAGGATGATTTAGCGGCATTATGCTGAATTTCCACAATTTATGGAAGAGATCGGTGGCGGTAATTTGATAAGCATCAAGTCAGACCATCTAACCGACGCTTGATGGAAATGGAAATATGCGTGGAAATTCGGACTATTGGATTGCCAGAGTGGCAGATAAGAGTGAGTCGCGTGAGTCATGGCTCACTTGCTTTACTTATTTAAGATGAAAGGCTTAGCGCAAACATGAGATACTGACATTAACGGTTGCTATACGGGAAGGCTTAGAGGGCATTTAGGTAAACTTAAGGGCACGGGACTCATGACGTGTCGCACTTTCTCCAGGTGACAAGGCTGCCCGATTTCAGTGACCATGCTTCTGCCAGCCTACTATTCAACCCCTCGCCAATCATAAGCTTGATTCGCTGCCACAGCGAATATCCCTGCAAAAACGCGAGTTGGGGGACTTTGAGCATTCAAAAACGGCTCTCTATCATCATCACCGCTTGTCATGTATGTTATCAGTTCAATAATTGTTAGCAATCGATGTCAGCAGTCCAACCTCATAACAGGCAACGGATTAGGACGCATAATATTTACTGAGTCCAGGCCAGTATATAACGAAGCGCTGCAAACGAATTGCAGGTACTCGAATCCTAAATTCCCCTTATCAACTTGTTTCGCCGTTGTTATCATTCTGGTCATAGGAAGCGCCGCTATCCGTGATTCCCGTCCCATCCCTACACCAACCTATGGAGAGCCAAAGGTTCAATGTTATCGGGAAGGGCGCACGGAATTGGTGATGTCATCCACTTGACGCCCGCTTATCAGATTTTATCAGTTGCATAAACAACACTTCGTGTCACTCAAAGAATTTCTATGGTCCGGCGCCTCATCCCAACTATCATACATAGCTAGCGAAGCTCATCCGCACTGTCCAACCGGCGAGATCGTGGTTGCAAACGAAATGGTAAGAGATCGGAACAATTGGCTTCGACGTCCGTTATCAGGCCTCCTACATGCAGGTGAAGCTTTGCGAACTTCGCGCCGAGCCAGCGTGCATCGAGTGCTTGTACGGAGTTAGGCCTCGAGCTATATCATCCTCACCTACCGAAGGTTTGAGCGCTCATGGGTTCAAAGAGTGAGTTATGGAAGTCTTCGGCGGTGAACAAACCGCACAAAACGAAGGGAGGGGGGAGAAGAGGAGGCGAAGGATGGCGCGGACCGAGGTGGCGCGAGCAGAGGGAATCGGGGGTAGGCGGGCCGGGAATGTATAGTGATTGATAGCGGCGAGATTACAGGATCCGGGCTGCCCCGTAACCCGCGACGGGCGGGTTATCGAGTTGTCTCGCGGGAAAGCATATGTCTATCGCTGCGCGAAGCGCGTAGTGGCTCCCTCGATGAGCCGCACGCGCACTACCGCTCTGGAAGTGACGCGTATCCAACCATGGTGGTTTCATAAGCAGTAGAAGGGAACACATCATGATATCGACGGTAGACGTTTTTCGCCTTCCCTTCTCATGCCTCAACCGTTCCTCTCAGTCCACTGCCCTCGCAGCTGACCATTGCAGCAGCAAATGTGGAATGAACGGAGAGCTGTGGCTAAGCCAGGTGTTTTATATAAGACTAAGAAGTGGTTAATCAACACTATGATGACTACGGGAAGAAGAGTGAGTGATGAGACACACGGGAGTCAAATCACTGTAAGCATACCCATCTGTTATCCGGTTTGTTAATCATCCCCATGAGCCTCCTTCTCACGTCACTTCATTTGCCGACTGGTAAGACACAACAACTACCAAGCCCCCAGCCCCCCCCCACCCCCCCCCCCCCACCACACCCACACCCCCCCCCCCCCCCCCCCGACGAGTGGCAGCGCCCACCACGCACACCAACACACAGTACAGCATACGAGCAAACCGACAAGGGACCGGAGGGCGGCGGGCAAAGTTACGCGCTTTATAGTACATAGAAGGTCAATAGTAACAGATAAAGCGGCTAGCGGCGTGTCCTGTTTGGTTGTGTGTGTATTGCTCGGAAATTCATAGGCTGAGTCACAGGATAAACTATAGCGCAGTAGTTTCTTAACGATATGTCATAGAGGGTGGAGGTTAGTGGGGATACTAAGCTGGTAGAGTGTAACCTAAGAACTGGTAATCGCTGATCACCGCTGAGTAAGGAAAGGGGTAGCAGGCGAGGCATACGCCAATTGTAGTTTTGCCGGTTCATATTGGTAAAAAGGAGCGTCTACTATGGGCGCGGGCTTCTCGGGACTGATTGGCTTGTACATGATTGGATGGCGATAGCAAACTGATAATCGGCCGTGATAGCATCGCCCGTAGAGCAGCAAAAAAGTCGTCGATTGCCATGCTATTATGAACAAGCGAGCGGTAGACTGGCTCGGCGTTGACAATCCAAGCAGGCAGAGCCATAACTAAACAACGTGTATTCTGGGGATGGAACGGCGCGCATAATGTTTGATGGGTGGGCCTGACAGATTGGATCAAACGATCATTGAATAAGGGACATGATAAACCGCGCGCCAGAACCTGAAGTTAGATCTTCGATTCGTTAGCTCGGTCCGGTAAGATTACAAGAGCCACTCATACTAACAAGGTGTTATGTGGAGTGGCCACTGGAATTTTTGCACTCGATGAGCCTAAAACATTGATAGACGATCGAGTCGGGCGCTGGCTAAGGTTGCGCGCACAGGAAGCTGAGCTCCCCGGTGATTCGTATACCGTGGCCTCCGCGTTGACGAACGCGAGAGCAATCAATCACTAAGTGCTCTATGTTTTGTGGGCGGAATTGTTGGTGGTGCCAGAAATGTGATAAGGAGTTGCTAAGGCTTGCTAAAGCCAAAAGGTATGCAGAACGCAAAAGTCTTCAGCCTCTCGTAACCAGGCGCACTCGCGCTGGCATACGAAGCGTCATAACATTCGAGTTCTTATGTGGGGTGAGAACGGGACCATACTTGATTAGTGATTGAAGTGGTTGGCAGCTGATAAGACCGGTGCGTCAGTCAAACCCGTATGCATAGAATCGAGTTACAAATAGGCTCCGTTGATACAAGAGCGCTCCATGATTTAAGAGCGATTATTTGAGTGGGGGATAATGTTGCTGGGCTGCCAAGAAACTGTATAAAATTTCATAAGGTGCTGATAAAGCGGGTGAGAAAAAGAAAGATCGTCATAATCCGGTAGACACGTCAAAAGCAGGTATCTAGATCAACTATCAAGGCGATACTGCTATCTTAATTGAAATTATGAGTAAAGATAACGATAAGAACGAAGGTCGGCAGAGGGAAAATGTCGCCTAGTTGGGAGGCAAGCGGACCACTTGAGGGCGCGCACCGACGCGTAATCGTTACAGAAAGAATCTCGAAAAAGTCTGTCTTGTTTGGCCGCGTGAACCACCATGTGGCGCACAACGGTGCACGCATAGCTATGCGCGCCCTCAAAAACAACTCTGTACGCAATTGTAATATCTCTGGAGTCCCTCGTCAGGCGCACAGTCGCGCGCACAGCCTCATAAAGTCCATGTAACGGGTGAGAGTTCTGAAATCCCCTCAAACCCACTGCTTTCAGGAAAGCCTCGCCAGCACTCGCCAATCAGTCATCACTTTACTCATTCGCTTTACGGGAAGTGATTGTCGCTACTTATGCGCTGCTCGCTTCGGTGTTCTTCTTTGTTGCGGCCGTACAACGAAACTATGGTCTCGTCATTGCATCGGCTGTTATTCAGATGTAAGTTGGGTAGGCATCATAGCAAGTGGGACTTCGAGCAATCCACCATCTATCACACCTCCACCCATAATAATTGAAGAATTAAACTGGGCAATTTGGAACTACAGTAGCGCTAGAATTTGCATTTTCAACTTCAACGAAGTCTAAGCAAAGGAGTAGAGCTTAATCAGCGGACATTGTTGCGGCATGCAAGGACCCAGACAAGTACCTTGCCTGCTGATCAAGGCGTGAAGTTTGTCACAAAGAAAGATAAATCCACGTGAAGGAACAGTCCGTTTGATCCGAAGTCTACCGATCTTCATCAATCCCCGAAGGGTGAGTGTTGGGAAAATCAAAAATATAAATACTATGTTGGTTACAAGAGAAATGACTCATGTAGTATGTCAATTGGTATGGTGTGAGGTATGTGAAATTTTATCTCGCCGGCCGAACCTGTGGGGTCGATCCAGGGTCCCTCTAGGATCTGCTAAGCTGACAACAGATTTGTTCGAAAGGACAGCAACACCAAATCAAATCCCACATCGGCTGTCCCCTCCTCCCCTCAACCTCCTACCGCGAGGTTGTCATACAGATATTAGGAGCACCACTAAAATTTAAATGGGAATCTTGCACGAAGCGCCACCAGAAGATAAGAATCGAGGCTAAGGGGTGCTTTAGTGAAGTCGGGACCACTTTGCCATCCCAGACGAAACGAGCACTTTTGTGTCTATCCAAACGCGATGAAGCGGCTCTACATAGAATACGAAAATGGGAGTGGCATGATTGCATTACATTACATTCGTCCTGCCCTTTCATCCCGTTCGTCCATTTTCAAAGCAACTATAGTGTGATTGATGAACGAGACAATCAATAGTGATTTTTTTCAGCATCTGCCTAGTTGCTCTGAGTCAATTGCTCAGTCCATCTCGACTCAGCGCAGTACTAGTCAATTCTCGTGTTCTTGCCATAGACAACAGCTCATACCCTGTTGCCCAAGTCAAGTAAGTTTGTTGGTTTGCTACAAAGAGTGATCCCATGAAAATTGTTTGCCACATTGATGTTAATGTTTTGACCGATATTGACGTTCTTAGAGGCATTGACAACCATGCGGGCCGTATGTGACCGCATTTTGCATCCACGTGGGGCAGCGCGGGTCATATGTGCCCTGCATCGTTCTGCCAACTTTTTTTGTGCATACACTACGTCTCTTCAGTTTTTTGACTTCTGCTCCATGAATCATAACATTGAAAATCATGCAAATCACGTGAGTCACAGAGCGATCGAGTATGCTTCGGCTCGGTCAAGGTTTTCCATAATCTACGAAATTTTCACTTTGGTCTCTCCCTTTTGTTTTATGTCATAAACANTGTAAGTAGGAACAAGATGAGTATTGTAACAAAATAAGTTAACATAAAATAAAGTGGAAGTCTATGGTATGCACAGAACTCCATGTGTGGCAGAGTTTTTATCGCGACCACATCAATTGAACTTTGATGAAGAAGACAAATGTGTTTTGATATCTCACTCAGCAGAGTTTATGAAAGTTTTATGAATTTGCTTTTGTATGGGGATTTCGCTGTTGCAGCTTCTAGATAACTCATGCAATATTGATACACTGTCAAAATGATTATGTTACTCGAGAAGTTACGCTTTTCTCTGAAAATCCACGGTTTTGAGCCGTTCCGACACGGCCAGCGCACGAGTCAGCGTGAATTTATGAATATTCCGCCACAGTCACGGTACAATGCACAACGTATGAAGTCTTGGCACAGGGATGCGCAATCTCACGTGCCATCCGATTTTCCCATTTGTATCTCACCTCCACTTCTCGTTTTGTCCGCGCTCTGCAACGACGAGAGAATGCGTCGAGCAAACTCTCTAAGCTATACTCGAGGGCGCCATTCATGATAGGATTGGAGGATGGCTTCGGCTCGAGTTGCCTCGCTTAGGATGGGGCGGCACACAGGGATGACATCCCCTTGACTGCCAGCAGGGTCAAGCGTGCGTGAGGAATCCTCGACACGTCACAAGGAGGGGGTCGTATTGGTTCATGCGGAGGAAGAGATTGGGCCGTTGACGGCAGCAGGATCCTCACCGTCTGAGGACAAACATCAAGGATCGAGTCAATGCCAGGCCAGAGATTCCAATAATACTGGTTAGTTCGCCACATAAAATCATCGTGATTCAAAGGTGTCCGCTCTGCAATTCTCAGCTACTTCAGTGTTTATACCACCACAGTTGAAGATCCGGAATTCTCACGTTTTAAAAGGATATCTATCTTTCAAGTGAGTCCTCAAATCTGAATGGATGTGAACCACACGAGCGCATCCCAGAGTGAGCCCAATTGGTTGAGCGCGCTTCATTTTTGCGGCTCTCTGGAGAGAGAATCTCATTTCAGGAAAAATCAAGACGATTCTTAAAAGGTGGTGTGAATATGACAGGAGGAGTTCACTGATAAACAAAAATGCAGCTCTCAGCGTCAAGTTCATGACATATAAGTGTGAAAGTTTAGATCCTTCAGACAATTTTTATCTTGTTGGAAAGACATCTCGTGGCTCCGAGATTGCCTCCCTATTTTGTAAGAAATTGCCCCTGAAGGCACCTATATCGTTGAAATACCACTACAGCGGAAAAGTACTTTCGGCGGTGCCCACACGCAAAATCCTCGACGTGGCCATTTTTTAAATACTGTCATATGAAGCTGCTTGAGCAACATTTGATAGAGCAAATCTTATAGTTTACGATTACGAAAGATCTTTTCGAATTGATGAAATGAACCGAGTTATAGCTTTGGCAAAGGTAAAAATCGGGCTCATTATGAATTTCTTCGTCAATTTTTCAAATCCTCGACGTAGCCTTTTTGAATATTGGACGTGTGAAGCTGTTCAGCAGCTGTTTGCTAGAGAAAATCTTCGATTTGTTTGCCGTATTAAACATTTCAGATTTTATGAAAATGAAGCAAGTTATGGTTCGGACAATGTAAAAACTCGTGCCCATCATGAATTTTCCTCGTTAATTGATCTAAATTGTTATTTCTCAATAAATTTTGTAAATTCGACACTGTCAAAAAGAGCTCTTAACAAAAACTCCAAATCTGCTTTAAGATTGGAAATTCGTTACAGTGAAGACATTATGGGTTGATCCTATAATTCTGGCCGAATTCAACACTTGATTTATTCAAGTTTTTATCTCTCCTAAAGAACAATTGATCAAAAACTAACCACCATCATTATCACTGATATGCACCCATTTCCCATGGACGAATGGATGCATTCCTCCCAGAACGAGAGGAGCTGTGAGATGAAAAGGCCGAAGAGGCCGTTTTGGGGTGGTTGTATTTATTGACTTTTTCCTCTCCAACTGCTGCTTCAGGGGCTGCGGAGGTGATAGTACGATGGAAGCAACGTAAGGCTATCCGACAGATGTGGTGTCGTTGTCGAGCCGGTTCCCTCGAAACGTGAGAGTTATCTTGCAATGTGATTTCGGGCGGTCCTCCTGAAGACGAGATTTTGAGACTTTTCCAACCGACTCCTTCACTGCTGCGGCTAATTTCGAAGGTATTTCATGGTTACCTCCGCAATGCTAGTCTGCATAAAAGTTAAATGATCTCCAATTGGATGCCCAGCGAATCCAACAAATTGGGTCACACCCTGTGATGAAACAGCTCCGGTTCTGATTGATGTGCAGCGTCCAGGCTGCGTGTAGCACCGGCGAGCAGCATTTGTTATCGTAGAGGACTCTTGACTCATTTGCACTGGGCCAATGAGGAGTGTCTTGTCTGTACGGTTGCAGAATGAAACTTCTGCAGATGGTCAGGCGTGCTTCTCGTCATGGTCAGTCCATGCACGCTGTTCTCCATGCGAGGCCTTCAATACTGACTACAGTCCATTTCACTCAGGTGTCGACCCATGGAGCGTGGCTGCGCCCAGATGTTTGCTACAATTTCCTGCTCATAGCGTACGGATGCACTTCCTGTTCGTAGCGCAAGCGGTCCTCATCGAAAGTGATTGGGGGTCCGTGATGAGGTCGAACGTTGCATCTCCTATCGCCTTTGCGTATGTTAATGAGCCAAGAGCTCAGCGCGCGATCAGTAGCAACGAGTGGGGCGAACGCAGCGCTGATCTTTACTACCGCGCTCCTTGCAAGGTTCTTCTTAAAACTGTCGCAAGCCAAAAACGTTAGATTTGGTTGTTGATCTATTTTGATGCCTGCTTAGTTACCCTTTGCGCGCTTAAGCTTTTGAATCATCCTGGCTAAAGGTCCTGAGGTGTTCTTCAACATATTAGCTTATTTCATCATGAAGCTAATTTGACACGAAGAACATTGAATTTAAACCAAAGTCGGCCAGCAATTATGGATCAACCCAATATAATTATTTGAATATTTGTTCAAATTTTAATAGTACATACATAAGCTGCTCCACGGTCAACGCGAGAGATCTGTCAACACACAGCTGGCTAACGCGGTATACAAGGCTTCTTTCAACTGAAAAGGGGACGTGTAGATTGTAAACCATACTCTGTGTAGTACTAAATTTGAAAAGCCTTCCAAGAAACTAAATAAAAAAGAGAAGTTGTCAAAGTATTCCATTTTCAGTGACTAGTTTGTCGTTTTTTACTCTGTTTCTCCTTTGCTCGTTTGGTAGGACCCATTAATAATGATCATTCTTAGATCTCTGTACTTCCTGAGCGACTTTTGTAGAGGTAGCAGGGCTTTTTATGAACACTTTTGAGGGAGGATTAAACAACCTTTGAATAGTTTGGCTTGTGAAGAGGGTCGTTTCTTGTACATCGGCCTCGGGAAGGGGGGTGGGGGCGTATTTTAAAATTTTCCTCGACGCCTCGCTTGACCCTGACTGCGAGCCAAGTGCGCGCAGCGCTAAGCTTCGCGGCCCGCGAGGCGAAGGGAATGCTGCTCAATGTAAACGCCGCTCCATTTTTGTACTGCTGCCTTAAGAACTGAGGTCGTTGTCTGCATTAACCTGTGAGATCATTAGGCCAGAGAGCGTGTCAATGCGCCGCGCAATGTACGTGACTGCGGCGGGAGCATCATAATTCACGCTGACTCCATAAGCTCACCGCGTTCAAACGACTTAGGTCCAAATCCACTCATCTGAGGTGGAAGGAGCGTGTTAGATAAATCACACTGGTCCCACGCGACCAAAAATTCAAAACGCGCTCACGTGTTTTGGCTCATAGAGATCAAATTTGCCACTTTCCTCTCAAAAGTTGTTCTGGAACTTGGTTCGACAATCAACTTTGATAGGGTAGAGCTTTTGAAAAAATTGCAAAACGGTCAACCAAGTGGTCAAGTGATTATTTCGGTGGGTGGTCTTCCAATCCCCTATTACTTTCGTAGCCAACTTGAACGTAAACTTGCATCTACGCCCCAGAACTAGACCGCTTTCAGTGTTTTAGCAGTATCAGAGGTTCAGGTCGTCGCAGACTGAGTTGCCCTTGATCCTCACAGATGAAACAGATGAACTAAAACCAGATGGAACGAACTTCCAAGTGATTATCCATTTCAGCGTTGTACTCCTGTATTCATTCATCGTCACACTTCTATTTGTGATCTCGACGCAATTTATAGCCACAGTAATCTCGCTTCGAAGTCATTCCACGACCAACACCTCTACGTCACATAATGTCTATCCTCAGCAGAGAACGAGTTTTTGAGGAAAATCATGTTTTATAAATATTTTTATGACCTTTGTGTGATATGCTGAACGTTACCTTTGCACACATATTAGTACGTCAGTAATCAGAATAAAGTAAGTATTGTGACCAAAAATCGCAAGTGACACTAGTCGATTTGTTCACTTCCTCTGTGCTACGCGAGGTTTATAATTGGGACCTTTTATTAGGTGGCCTAACGTTTCGACCGTTTCTTCGGAGGCCTTGAGATAGCCCGAAGCTTTTTGATTTTGTAAATAGTCTTTGTGACAGTCTACCACCGATATTACAGCATGAGACTTCAGTGGATTCCATTTGCCCACGCTAGCATTACTAACAGGGAACCTAAGTTCTGCACTATTGGTGAAGGTTCGGTGAATTCTTAATGACATTGGGTGATTCCGAAGTGTTCCTCAACATGACGTCACAAACGCTAGAGGGGGAAGGGGGAGATGATCGGGCGGGTAGCTTAAAAGAAGCGATCACGCTGGCTTCCACGGTGGTCGGCAAGTTCGGTTACAAGGCTTCTGTTAACCAGGGGGTGAGAGTGTAGAAGGGAAAGCACACGTTCTTTGTGGTAGTGGGACCAAACCTTTCAAAGGAGGTGAAGAAAGCGGAGAATCTGTAATAGTGCGCTTGTGTGAGAGCTCCCAGACAGCACAAATCTTTGAAAATCAGAAAGTTTCGAGCTATCTCCGGACCTTTGAAAGAGGCGAAGTGAAAGTTAGCCCTGTAGGTTATAATTATCAACCTCGTCTGGCACAGAGGAATTAAAGAGCAAAAATTAAGCAAGAGACACTGATTTTTAGAGCCTTGTCCACGTCTCCTCAAGAGCCTTGTCCACGTCTCCTCAACTTCAAGTCCTTCAATTATATCAGGTAACCAGAACTTCGATGATTCAAGATTGGGCTTTTGCTTTGGCTTTGGCTCTGACTCACATTTACTATGAGTTGATTCAAAATTTTCTAACAGAGGTGGACTGACCTCTGATAGTACGTCATGATCAGAAAGCTTGACACAAACAAAACATTTCAATTCAGACAGGTTGGCAACACTACGGGAAATCTCTAGCACTGTCGTGCACTCACTCCCCCAAGCGGTAGCTCCTGCAATGGGTTTCACACTTTTCCCCTTCTTGAAGTAATATTCCAGAGAAGATTAGCGAGAAAGGAGTACGGTAGGTAGTGTTTCTAAGGAAAATTGAAGTAGAGTGCAGCCCATGCGACGCAGTGGACGTCTCCTATCAGGAATGTCATCCAGTTCATGCCCCGGTTTTTAGGACCAGCTTTCTTCCAGAGATGGGAAAAATGCACAGAACGCAGAACTCAGGTTCATTCTTTCTGGGCTGTTCGCATGCCAAAAAGGGGACAAGAAAAGCTGACGCGTTACAACGTTTCGACGCCAGTTCAGTGTTGATGCGGTTTGTCACTAGCTCTGTCACTAAATCAAATCCTGACATGTGAGGTGAAAATTTCAAGAGAAGGCTCAAAAGAAGGACCTCCTCCCTATTACCTGTAAAGGATGATGGGTCGAAGTGGCCATATGCAATTGAATCCAGGGTGAGAATCGTGTCGAGGGCGTGGTTGCAGAAGTACGACCCCCCTGAGATCGAGGACTTGGCAGACCCCCCCCCTAAAACAGAGTATACGCAAAATAACAAATCACAACAGCCGAGTGTATCGACGGTCCAACGGAAGCTGCGGCGCGATTTGTCCCTGGATCACATTTGTTGAAATCCAGAAAAAAAAACCGTCGAAATCTACACCTTCGATGAAACCGTTGCATTCTTCCATTTCCAAACCTTTTCAACAGCACGCAATGGGGTTAAATAGAGTTGGATTTGCTATCATTTGGCAGTATTGCTATGAGAGCCTTCCATTCTAAGAGACACAGTCTCTGAAATCCGTCGAGGGAGCGTCGAAGATGCTGAAATTTTCATGCGAGTTTTTCCATTCAAAAGGCAATACTATCTCTCCAACTCCGCAAGATCGTGGGAAAACGAAGACAGCTTCGGATAGCGGCAGGATCGCGCTTTCTAACAGTTTCTCGGCTTCGTTTGGCTTTGTTTGACTTTTTTCTACATCTCTAGGTAAGGAGATATTTGAGTCAAGGATCTATCGATTGTGATTCTCGGCAGTACGAAAAGCCGCTCCCTCCTTCACAATTGCAAGTGCGATTCGTTGGCAATGCTCAAAATGTGTCTAGAATACATTCATCCGATATATATTATAAGAAAAGGGCAATCGTCACTATCCGATTTCGCCTGGGTGTAGGCCATGCATCCGACATTCACTCGAAGTTGCAGAATCGACTGAAAGGTGTTATATAATCATGACCAAGTTGCATTGTAGTAAAGACATTTCGTAACCCCTATAGCCTGAGCAACAGCTCAATTTGCTAGGAAGCTTTCCTTCACGGTTGTCGTTTTTCTGACAACATGCCTAACAACAGTGTCATTCTCAACGAGTTATTAAGGGAGTGGGAGCGGGCGGTAGATAGAGGAGGTGTCCCTGCAGCAATGTGCACATGTGACCCCGTTCCTTGTGGAGATGCACTTTCATTCATTTTACTGCTTTCGAATGCCTCCTTCTCATGAAGATAGAGGAATGGAGCGGATGAACCTGCAAGGAATCCCTACTATACATAAAACGCTATGTCTGTCTGTTTGTGTGTGCGTGTGCGCGTGTGTCACAAAATTCATAGCACGCGTCGTAGCAGCCATTAGGAGCTGATTATTGACACACTATAAGAGGAGGGAGAGGAACATATATGGTGGGGGTCACAAACGTGATGACGACTGATAAGAGCAGATAAGAGGTGCCGAAACACAAATTCCACGAGATTTGTAGTGCGCTTCGCAGCAGTCGTCAGGATGTGATATAGGGGGTGGGACGGAAACATATTTTTGGGGGTCAAAAAGTGATAACGACTGATGAGGACTGAAAGTAACTATTCGTACAAACGTTGAGATAACTTGAATAATCCAGATTGTAGATAATGAATTTCATTTCATTATCATTTCATTAGCGTTGTAATTGTACACTCAAACACCTTTCGACCGCTACACCTTCTATAATTCTTGAGGATGAATGGGATGCTCGAATAAATACGATAGTGAATACTGGGCATTCCGTTTTGAGATAACCAAAAATTATTCGACCACTAAATTACCTCGATACTCGATGCATGGTGGTCGTTTACATACAGAAGCGGTCAAAAGTGTTCGCCGAAACGGTTTTCCGTGCTCCTCCTTTTTTTGCCAGAAAAACAAACCTAACGTAGACTCAGAAACTTTTTGCGAACATCCTAATTCTTCAGAGTTTGAGGATGTGAAAACACTAGAAAACATAGTATATCAATCTCTGGAGTGCGCTGCTCAAGCGAGAAAAAATAATGTACTAAAAATCGTTTCGGCGAACACTTTTGACCGCTACTGTACATCAATTTAGCTGTGCATTTCACTGCGCTTATCAAACAGTGAGATACAGCCAAGATGGGCAGCTTATGCAACGCACAGTAATTCATTCAACGAAGCAGCTATAGTTCAGCAGTGAAAACTGAAGCTCTACCGATTACCAGTTCTATCGAAGCCTTCCGTGTCATGCGCGCAGTAGCGGGCGGAGCTAAACTGGTATTTTATATAATAACCAGTTTGGCTGCGCACGCATTCGCGTGCATCACACGGGGGTTCAAACAGGATGATCACTGTTCTTTTCTAGATTTTAGTTTTCTTTCGGTACATCCCATTTACACCGACTATTAGGTCAAACTATATTTTCTGTTATAACTATAACGCGGTTTCGGAGAGGGTCTTTCTTCCAACACAGGGTTTTTTTTTCTGGGAAGGTGGTAAGGCTGAAAAATTATGTCTGTGACCAATGTTCTCTCTCTATTACTGCAGAGCTGCTGAGTGAGATTCCAAGGTACGGCTGCTTTGGAGACACTCCTCTTTCGAAATTCACGGGTAACCCCGCCCACTTTTGCGCATGTCCTGCCCACTGAGACTTCATTTCTTTTGCTGACCTCTATACTATTTTCCTGGTGTCCAAGACTTCTTGGAACCGAGTAATAATGTTTCGTGCATAACTCCCCCACTTTTGTGCAAGCTTAGCCCACCTTAGCATGTAACCCCTTTCCCTCCGGCAACCCTTATCCACATTTCTCCCGGTCGTCTAGCCGTTTTGGAACCGAGTTATGAGAGTGGTGGCAAACTCCGCCCACTTCGGGGAGCGCTGCGCCCAGCGTTCACATTCAACCTCTACTTCTCCTCTCACCTCTACATATATTTTTTAGATTCCCAAGTCATCTCGGGGCCGAATTATGAGGTCTTGTGGAAGGCGTTATGAGACATGAGTTTTCGTGGCAACCCCGCCCACTTTGGTGCACACTTGGCCCACCAATACGCTTACCCCTTTCCCTACGGCAACCCTTATCCACTTTTTTCCCGAGCGCTGGGGCTCCTAGGAACCGAGTTATGAGAGTGGTGGCAAACTCCGCCCACTTCGGGGTGTGCCACGCCCAGCACTCACATTCAGCCTCTACTCCTCATCTCACTCCTATACACGTTTTCTCAGGTCTCTAAGTCGTCTCGGAGCAGAATTATGAGGTCCTGTAGGGGACGAAATTGAGCTACGTATCTTTGTGGCGAACCCCGCCCACTTTGGTGCATGGGTCGCCCACTGCTGTCAGTTGACTTTCATATCTTCCCCAACCTTTTTCTACTTTTTCCCATCTCCAGAACTTATTGGAACCTAGTTATGAAGTACCGTGGCAAACCCCGCCCACTTTGGCGCATGCTCCGCCCGCCAACAGCGGTTGACCCCCCCTTATACGCTTTTTTCCGGACTCCGGGACTCCTAGGAACCGAGTTATAAGCCAAAGTGCAAACTCCGCCCACTTTGATGCAAGCCACGCTCATTCTTGACATTTAGCTTCCCCTCCCCTCCTCACCTCTATCCGATGTTTTCCGGTCTCTAAGTCATCTCAGAGCCGATTTATGAGCT